GTTCATGGCTGAGACACTCGAATCAGTGCGTGATCATGATCATGTAGCTTTACTGTTCCAACCTGTGGGAATTGTGTTTCCCCAACTAGATCACAACTCATGCGACTGCTCCTCTTTTCTCACATCTCCTATAGGGCAGTAGGATTGACCAGATCAGAATTAAGAGGGGGAGGGTATACCTACACCCCTTTGATTGCAGTGGGTCTGGGCACATGGGGCACTCTGGACCTGCCACATGAGGTGAATCAATCTTGCCTCTATTCTCTGGCTTCCTCCTAACACACCCTAATTCACTGAAGGAACAAAACAAGACAAAACAAAAATTACACCCCCCCACACACACAACCCCAACAAAGAAATTCCAACCTCAGCATCTAAGACGGGCTATTTTGAAAAGACCAATAGCCAGGAGTCCTGTATTACAGGATCAATGTTTGGAAAATGTGATTTTCTTTTTAAAAGCAGAAAAACAATCTCACACAGTCCTGCAGGCCACGGTCCAGCTCTTGGTAGAGGGCATCTTTCTCTCATGGTCTTACCATTTAAGCCACTTTTCTGGCTGGAATTTGGGCTTCACCCAATGTTAATTTCTAGTTTAATCTCAGGCACTTAGTGATACGTGACCCGAGGCCTGTAGCACAGAAGTAGGAAGATGTGCCAGCCTCAGCCCTTGGAGTCCCTCTAGCCTTTGGAGTCCTAGTGGAGGAAATGTTCATTTTTGCAGAGGGGTAGGGACACTAGCCTTTGCTTTAGGCTCAGCTGGTCCCATTGTGAGAAGGGCTAGAGCTACCCCAAGTCATCCTTCACTCATTGCTGATTCATAGGTAGAGCCCAGGAAGTAGGGGAGGGAGGGAATTGGCAAATGAAGAGAGTGTCCATGGGGGTGGGACATTGAGCCCTGTATCTTCACTTCTCAGAGAATGTGCCCCCACAAGCTCACAGAATCCACTTGAGAAAGAAACAGAATCAACTAACTAGTTGGCATATACAAAAGACCCAACAAACCACGTGACTAATATTGAAGGTATTGTCATTTGTAGATGGGGTAAATAGAAGTTTCATTCATTCATTCATTTCACAACCCTTTACTGATGGCCCACAATTTGCCAGATGATGAAAGACATAACTCCTGCTTTAAAGGAGACCCTAGGTAGATACTGGCAAGGCCACTCATAAGTGTGTAACAAACACACCTATAAGCCAAGGTTTGTGCAAGGCCTATCGGTGGCGCAAATGACAATGGCAAACATAGATTTCTGATTATATGTTGGATCTTGTCCTAAGTGCTTTATGTGGATTGATTTGTTTAACATGATTCCTCTATAAAATAGCATGATTATCATCTCCAATTAGCAGGTGAGGAAAATGAGGCATCAAAAGATAAAAATGTGCCAGGCCTGGTGGCGCATGCCTGTAATCCCAGTGGCTTGGGAGGCTGAGGCAGGAGGATCGTGAGTTCAAAGCCAGACTCAGCAAAAAGTGAGGTTCTAAGCAACTCATTGAGACCCTATCTCTAAATAAAATACAAAACAGGGCTGGGAAGGTGGCTCAGTGGTCAAGTGCCCCTGAGTTTAATTCCCAGTACTCCCCTCCCCCACCCCCACCCCAAAGATAAAGATGTGTCCAAGATATTGTGGACAGGTCCATGGTAGAGCCAGCATGTGAGCTGGAGCAGGCTACCCGCAGAATCCATGTCCTGAACCCTGTGCCCTGAGACCTTGCCCAGGAGGTTACTCAGCTCTGCCTAGGGGAAAACTCATAGAGCAGAGCTTTGGGAATGAATTCCCAACCCAGAGCAGCCCTGAGGGAGGGGTGGGAGGAAAAGGATGTAAATACAAAGTAGGCAAGTTTGGGACTCCTGGAGTGATTTGGAAGGTCTGGAGCCTGGAAGAACACCCCCTATCAAACCTCTAGATGCCTTCCTCAACACCTTTCTTTAACTTTCTTGCTTTCTGTTCCTCCTCCCGCCCCTTTCCTCTTCTCTCTTTCCTGTGCTTCCTTCTTCCTGTTTGTTTCCTTCCCATTCCTTTCCACCTTCCCTCCACTCCTACTTTCCTTTCATTTCTCCTTCCCTTCCCTTCTCTCTTTCTCGTCTCATGACTAGAACCCCATATTCTATCTTGTCCATCTACTTAATTGAATCCACCTCCTGACTTCTCCAGGTTACACCATTTTTTCCTGTCCCCAGACTGGCTAGGGACTCTGAAAACCCATTCAGGCCTGTGGGCTGATTGTTACTCTTCCCAGGATGTCTGAAGTTGCGGGAAGGGCTGCCACCTGGGAGGGAGCTTCGGATAGTAGCCTCTGCCTTGTTCTAGTGGCCTCTGGGTAGTTTAGATAGCCTGACCTGAACCGGGGATGGGGGATAATGACGTCTGGAGGGGTGGTGGTTGTCTAGCAGAGCCAGTGGATGCAATTAATGGTCCTGATGTGATGCTTAAAATTTCTGACAATGGCCTGTATACTGTCTGGTGTCGTCTGCAGTCCCTTTGCAGGACTGGACGTCACTGGATTACAACCCACCCACATACACACCCACCCAGGACAGACACCCTCTCTGTATTTCCTGCCCAGTTCAGGCTGGCATGTGTGTGGGGCTCAGAGAGATTGGTGGTTTGCATTCAGATTCTCAAATGCATGCGAGTGTGTTTTGTTTACCTCATGTATCTAATATGCTAATGACTGGAGGCAGTAATGAGCTGGCAGGGACCTGAGTGACAAAGAGCTGGCTTCATGCTTCCCCAAAGAGGCACCACAGGGTCGATTGTTTCTTTTATGAGAAGAATTGTCAGGACCTGGGAATGTGGGCTGGGAGGGAAGGAGAGAGGGGAGCGGGGCGGGGGTGGGGTGGGGTCCAGAGCAGGTTAGAGGAGGCAGACTTCCCTGTCAGGGGCAGTGCAGGATGCCGGCAGCCTCAGAAAGGGAAACTTGGGAGAGTGGGGAGCCCCAGAAGGTGGCTGGGGTGGAGCAGGAGGAATTCCCCAGTGGGAAGAAAATGGATGGGAACCGAACACTCATCCGTGCTACCTGTGAGTCCTCAAGGGGACTCTGTGAGTTCCCTGATGGGCAGGAAATCCCCATCTGCTGTGGACCCTTAACTGTCCTGCTCTTGCCACAGGGCCTGGCATGCAGTCAGAAGCACAGGGTGACGAGTGGACAATGGTCTGTGTGAGATTGCTGACGGGAGGCCTCCATCAAGCTCTTGATGGGTAAGCTGAGGCCTCCGGGATAAGTCAGTAGATCTCTCTGGATCTCAGTTTCCTTTCCTGTGAAAGGAATTTGATACTCCCTGTGAATCCGACTCCAACGTCCTGTAAAGTCCTGGCATAAAGTGGGTCTCCATACAAATTTGTCAATGAATGAGTGAGACAGGAGGTTAGGAAGTATACATCTCTCTTTCACAGAAGAAGGAAAAATTAAGACCAAAATTCAGCAAACAACTCAAGACCACATGACTGGTCATGAGAGAACTAGAGGTCAGGTCCACTGCTGACCACCTGGGAAGAGTGAGGAGAGCAAGTCTCTGAGAGGTTGGAGAGCCCAGTACAGCCCTGAGGAGAAGGAGCAAGCCTCTTTAGAGAGTCCCTAAACTGAAGACAGCAGGCTTTAGGACGATCTCCACCATTCTATATCAAAAGGAAGGGGACAGGGGAACATATTCATGTGAGGTAGAGTGGGCCCAGACCAGCCTAGGGCCCCTCCCCTGATTAGATGGAAATTTGCATCAGACTTGGGGGAGGCAAGCACAGGTTTGTGACGTTCACACGTTTCTAGAGGTACGTAGGGCTGTATCGGCTGTTCTCACTGACCTCAAGAGGCTCTGGGCAGTGGGAATTCGTGGGGATTAGAAGGGTTTTGTGGGAACCCAAGACCAGGGCCTAATAGTATGACCTCCTGAATAGGCCTGACTCCTATAGCTGATGGGGTCTCTGCTGTGTATCCTTGGATTTATCCTTTCTCTTAGCCTTCTAGCAAATATTCTTTAGACTCTTTCTTTGTCTTGGCTAACCTGACTATACCCCATGGCCAGCAAAGCCAGCTGGAGGGGCTGAGGTCAAGAAGGGGTGGGTCTGGCCTCTCCTCCCTGGAATTTCTACTCCCAGGCAGCTGTGAGCCTCCCCTGAGGCTGGGCGCAGAGGCCCCCAGCTCAGCATCATACACCCCTCGGGTGTGGGGCTGAACTTAGAAGTCCCTAGTGGCACCAGGAATGTGGATCAGGCAGAGAGGCCAGGCTAGCCGAGAGCCTAGGGCCTACACTGCATGAAAGAATGGGGAGTGGCGAGAATGGGCACACAGGGGCCCTGCAGCATCGAACTGTGAACAGACACCACACTGGAGGAGGTGGCTCTACATCAGAGGCCAGAATAGGGTCCTTCTGTCAAGCCCCTGGAATTCTGGAGACAATGGCTTCCTTGTTTGTAAGTCTCTACCTATGCGGGAGTTCAGTCTGAAAAAATCCAGCAACTGAAAATGGGAAGCAAGAATCAAGAGTTCTGGATTTTAATCCTGTTTCTACATGTTCCTCCTTTTGCCTAAAGGCCAGGCAGGACCAGGTGGAACCCCTGGCAGGTCCCTGAGGCCTGCTACCCTCATTTCCTTCAATTAGGGACCAGGGGTATTTGCTCTTTGTCTACCCCTGGCCTGGACAGGAGAGGAAGAAAGGCCATCACCTAGTCTGGGAGCAGGGGATGGAATAGGGACATTGGGATCCATGTGAGGTGGTGCCTGACCCAGTGACCAAGTCTGTAACTGCAGAGTCCCAAGACAGCCAGGGACAGGAGGGGGATGGGGGACTCTTTCTGGAGGCAGGGAGTGCCACCTGAGGTATTAATGGAGAGAAGGAGGAGGGGAAGGCCCTCCTAGTACCTAGAGTGAATAGGAACCCCAAAACAGGAAACTTGCAAGGGTAGGGTGTGCCTTTAGAAGTGCACCGGCATGGGGGCTAGCCCACCCTCCCCTTTTTCCCTCTTTTTCCTTCTTTCCTTTCCTTCCTCACCAAGTTTCTGTTCCAGGCAAGCCCCAGGAAGAAGGAGAGGACAAGCACAGAGCTAGCTGAGAAGCTGCGGCCCAGGCGGCATCAGGTTCTCTGCACACTGCACCGTGGTCCTGTAGCCAGTGCAGGCTGCCTCTGCCTCCCACCACGGGTCCCCCATGAACCTCCAGCCACCGAGCCACCGGTTTTCGTCTGCAGGTCTATATATAGCGATGGAGATGCACACTCTGGAATTGGATTTGATGGAGCCCTCTGGACTGAAGCTAACTTTTGGGGAGTCGTTTTCTTGGGAGCCTGCCAGTCCAATTCCTCCCTCATGAACACTAATTACCGTACAGACCTTCTCCATGAAATCCGTGCTGAAGCCATTTCCATCCAGGCGGCTCTCCAAGACGAAATTTTTCTACAGGGAACCGACAGCCGCAAATAAACCTACCATCTACTTAGCAACAGAGAGCAAGAGCAGGCGGGAGGCAGGGAGGGAAGGAGGGAGGGAGGGAGGGGTGTGGGAGAGTGGGAGGAGGGAGAGGTGGGGAGGGCTTCTCTTCTCCCTCCTGTTCTTTATTTTTCAGAAAGGATGTAATCATCTCTAGCAGGGAAGGTGGTGTGGGGCGGCTCATAAGAGTGCAGTGGCCCAGGCTGTCGGCCCAGGCCACCTGCAAGGCTAGTTCCTGCTCTTAGTTGCTTCAGCAGGTCCCCTCTTGGGCTCTGTTGGGCAGCAGAGGCAGCCTCCTGACCAATCTAGGTTTTCTTCCCTGCTTTCCCATCCTAGCCTGCCTCAAGCCCCTGAAGGTCTGGCCCATGACGGTGTCTCTCTGTCTGGCCTGAGGGTGGTCTCCATAACACGTGCCTGGTGAATCCACACCCATCAGTCAGGGTGTAAATTTCTCACCCCCCAGCAGCCCTCTCTGAGCCCTCTAGGTAGCACAGGTCCCCTCCATTCTGAACACTAGGGGCTAAGACAGGCCCCTAGCTGGGGATGGCTCTGCCTTCATTGTCCCCTTATTGAATCTCTATCAGCTGCCTTGGGCTTGTGGGGTGAGCACTAGAGGGAAGGAGCTTCACGATGTCAGATGGGGTTGAATATCACCATACATCTGTGAATAGGTGACTTCTTCTTTTGGAGAGGATGAGCCTGAAGCTCAGAGAGGCACATGGAATGTTCGAGATCACTTAGAACCCAGGAAGAACAGGGTTGGGGTTTGAAAGCCTGTGTCCGAATCGTATCCAAAGGCCAGATGCTGTAATTTATCTTCCAGCCTCTCCCCCCCACACCCCCGGGGATGGTTCCGGGGCAGTGCCTGCCTCTGCCGCCACTGTCTGCCTCAAAGGTCAGCCCAGGGCTCTGCTCTCAGCCTCTGTGCCAGGAGTGCTTGGATCCAGAGAACAGGAGAATTTTATTTCCCCCGGAGGTTTATCAAGGCCCAGGGCAGGCTCAGCGAGCTCTTATGACCACTGGCCACTTGCCAGGCCTTTCCAGCCAGCAAAGCCTGAGTGACCCTGGGAGACTATGGGGTCAGGAACACTGTTCCATCCTTGCCTGTTTGGCAGAAGAGCCTCTCCCTCCCCTGGCAGAGCCCCCCTCCACATCCTGTGCCTAACCCTGTGCCCAGAGACTCCTCACCAGGCCCCAGCTCTCCACTTCCTCTCTCAGAACCTTTAGCATCCATTTTTTGAGACCCATGTCTCCAGGATGCACTCCAGCAAAATCACTAAAATAGATCTAGTGCCACTTATGCCACTAAGGTTTGGTGAATCCCTTCACTCCTCTGGGACTTAGTTTCTCCATCTATAACATGATGATTCCTGCCCTACCTCTTACGGGGTGGGTGGTGTGCGTGGTAAGAAGCACTTAGAGCTACTTGAATGTCAGGTTGTGCTACTTGAATGTCAAGGGCCCCGTTCCCTTTACCCTGCTTCATGCTCACCCTGGACTCTCCTGTCTCTACCCTGCCCCATTCAAGGTGGGTGAGAAAGAAAGAGCTCAGGCCTCTTCTCTAGGAATAATCAACCAGACTTAGAAAGTTTCCAGCAAGGCTGAGAGAATGGCTACCAGAGTGCTTTTCCTGGAGCAGCGAGAGGACAGGAGTCCCAGCGAGAGCTTTCTCTTAGAAGAGACCTGCTGGGAAATCATGAAAATGGATCTTATGCCCAGTGATAAGCCGACCCCCTCCTTTGGATGTCCATGGCCTTATTTATAAGGTAGGGGTGGAGCTGGCTGGGCTGATCTGTATAGTGCCTTTCACGAGGACAGTGTGTGGTGTGCTTATGAACAGAGCTTGCATATTATGTGACACTATCACCTTTAAACTGTGTGATTTGGGGCAATTTTCTTTGCCATGTTCTCTCTGGTTTTTCTTATCTGTAAATGGGGTCTAAGCACTTCCCTTCTTGGGGGGCTGAGGGCTAAATGGAAGCATGCAAACCAGGGTCTAGAAAGTGCCTGCTTCAGACACACACCCCTGGCCAGTGTTAGCGCCTTGTGCTATGTGGCTATCACTAGTCACTGGCAGCATGACAGAGCACTTGCCACGTGCCAGGGACATAGATGAGCACTGTGCACACATTTTGTCATTTAGTCCACCATTTCTTCTTTCATTTCTCGTGTGTCTGTGAAAAAGAGAGAGCACTCTGAAAGGCAAGGTCAGAGGGCTGCCCTGGATTATGGACATTGCCTGGTAACTACAGAGTTGCCAGGTGACGTCCCTAAGTCCCAGTATCTGGCTGGAGTGAGAGGCTTCCTCACTAAGGAACTGGCCTTCGCTGCAGGCATGTTGAGGGCGAGTGAGGTTGGTGACCACCTGGCCTAGGTCAGAGGGCAGAAAGCCCAAGAAGGGTAAGAGGGATGGCTAGAGCTGTGTGTGACATTGTTCTCTGTCATACCCTTTAGTCAAATCTCAGTGTTCAAGGGTGCACTTCAGGCCACTAAGGGATGCCCAGGGCTGAGCTTGGAGGAAGCAGAGAAAGTGCATAGGGGTCTCTTGTCAGAAGTAGAGGAGATGACTGTCTCCATAGTCACGGGGCTGGCCTCATCCAGCTGCTGTCAGATTGGTCACTAAAGTCTGTGGCTTCACCTTACTAAGATCTCTGGGCCTAGTGGCCCAGGCCAGCCAGGACACCCAGAGTACCTGGGAAGCAGCCTGGGCTTTGCACACTGTTTCTTTTAGCAACTCTTCATTCTCTAGTTTTGCTCCTCTATTTAGATTCCTGGTCAATTTTGTTTAGAAAATTCCAACCTCTCTTCAGCAGAGCTAAGCTAAAAAGGACAAACTCTCCATGGGTCTGCCTGGAAGGGAGTGTGGCAAGGGGTGCATCTGTCCTGGCTGTACTTAAGGCATAGCAGGCTTTTGGGGGCCAGTACCTCAGTGGGCCTGAGACCAGGAGGGGATGACTATAGAGGCCAAGCCCTTCCTGCCTAAGGAATTGTTCTCCTCCAAGGGGAATCTTTTCTAAGAAATGTTCTTGGGAGCAAAGAAGACTCTAGTGGTTAGCAGGGGAGCAGGGAAGTTAGAGATACAGGCTGTTGGTGTCCAGTGCCCTGGGTTCCTGACTGGGCATTACTACTTCCTGGCTACGTGATGTCAGGAAACTTCCTTAATTTCTTTAAGCCCCACTTTCCGGATTGCTCACTGTGTCCCAGGTCTGTTGTGATGCATGTAAATCTCCCAGTCCAGTGTCAGGCCCCACATGTGTCCCTTTTATAATGCCACGGAGCAAAAGCATCCTCTGGATAGCCCGGCCCTCCCTGAGCTGCAATAATGGGCCATGTCCTTTCTGTGGGGGAGGAGGGTGATGCCCATGGCCCCATGGACATGTGCCTCTCCCAGGCCTAGGCAGAGAAGTGGGCAGGCTGCGCCATTCAGAGCCTCAACCCACGTTTGTCTTTTGCCCTCCCTTCCCACCCCTGGTGCCGCCCCCCTGTTCTCTGGGCATTCTTTCTTCCTTCTCTCAGGCAGGCGGCTGAGCAGAAAAACAAATCAAAGTTGCCTTCATGTCTTTGAGCCCATGATGCTCCCGCGAAGCGATCCCTTGCTTCCCATTACCCACCCCAATAACTCTTGTATATGGAGTGTGAAATAATTAGCAGTGGCAAAAATAATTTAGGAAACAAGAAGAAACTAATTGTATAGGCTTGTTTGGGGAAAACACAGCCAACAAAAAATCCCACCATGTGGGGAGAGGTGAACAGACTGACCAGCTCCCTTTAGCACAAGCCTAGAGATGGGGTACCTGGAAGGACCCCTTAGGTTACCCTCTCAGGGCCCACTCCCCCATCCCTGATCATTCAAGATGGGCTGGTCCACACTGTAGCCAAGACAGGAGCCCTCATGAGTGCAGAGTGATTTCCCAAAACATACCCACACCCCATGTCACACCATCCCAGGAAGGAAGCTGGGGAGGCAGGGACGGTCACCTGGAGCCGCTTCCTGCAGTCACCTGGGAATGGTGTCTTCCCGAGCTTGAACTGGAGGCCGCCTGCAGGGCCCCCACACCCAGCAGGACTGGAAGCTTCCTTTTCCCTTGCCTGCCTGCCTTCGCCACTCAGACTTCCAGCCCCAACAGACGCCCACTGCACGTCAGCTCAGCGGCTTGGGCATCATTAAACACAATGCGGCTTCCCTGGAAGGGGGGCAGGCAGCCGCGTCTCGTACTTTATGGCTCTTCTAACTTTGGAAAGTTCCTTTCTCCTTGGGCACTTTTCAACCTCCTAAGCACCCTCTCATCCTCCACATCATTTGCTCCTCACTTTTCCGCAGGTGGGGATCGAGTGACCTTGTTTTCATGTGACAGATGAAAAGAAATGAAGGATCTACCACTTTCCTGTGAATGAGGTGCTGGGGAGAGAAAATAATTGGACTAAAGTAACAGCAAGAGTATGGCTCAGGGGTGACCTAAGGCTGACTCCCTGTTCTCTGCTGCTTCTGGCCTTCTTTACCCTGCTGGACAATGGGCCTGATTGGTCCAGGCATGCACCAGGAATCCAGGTTGACCACAGTGGTCTCTGCTCCTCTCAGACACTGCCCAAGTTCCCCCAAGACTCCAGCTCATCCGAGTGCCAAGTTCAGGGTTGGGAGGAGGCCTTTGTGGTCCTGCCTGGCCTGGCCTGGCCTTGGCTAACCCTCACAGTTTCAGCTCCCTTCCCTTTAGATGCAGAGCATTTATATTTGTCTAGAACTGATGTATGAGGCTGTTTGTCAGGACAAAAATCCACCTGGCTCCCTGTGAGTGCCTGTCTGCTATCTCCTCACCCATCTTCTCTTGTCTGGGTCATTACAATCACCTCCTGATTTGTCCCCTGGCCTCTAGCATCTCAGTCTCAGGCCAGCAGTGATTGTCCTAAGGCCAGGTTCTGAGCTGCCACTTCCTTGCTTTGAAACCTTCTGTGATTTCCTGTTTCTTCTACCATCAGTACATGCTTCTTAGGCTTGTCTCTGTGTGACATTGTTCTC